ACTTATTGTCCGAGCCACAAAATACATACATGGTCTGCTGAGCTCTTAAGAAAAACAGTCCAGTTAGGGACGGCTAGTGTAGATAGCCCTCGTGTAGCTTTGCACAAAATTCAAAACATACAAATCCACCGTAGTGGGTGACACAGTTGATGAGTTTTCCTTTCTGTCATTGTATTCTCAGAGCAGAGCTCATCTTTTTATTTCTTTATCTACACCAGTCCCTCCAATATCTTCTCAATCTGGGTTCCTAGCTATCTGCTGTGAAGAAGTGAATAGCATTTCTGAAGTTAACATTTTACATACCTGAAAATATATTTCAGATGGATAAATACCTCCCTATAGAACCATTCACCCTCCCTTCCCACTTCTGGTACGTCTCTTGGCATACACATTGTTCAAAGAGAGTACTGTGCATGGAGGATGTGTCATCCTTCTATTGATGGAGGGATATAATCTAATTCTGATTGTATCGCAGACTGGTGCAATATACATTATTACATATAGATGTGGGCGCTTTGGTTAAAAGCTTGGTGTATATGCAAAATATTTTTGGCAGTGGTATGAGGTATTTTCTATCTGTTCTGTGAGTAGCATTTCTAAAACTGATATAACTAGTTTGGGAAATCTTGTGTAAGTTACTAAATTATTTAACCAATAAATTTGTAGGATGCCCTATTAAGGCTTCTGCTTGAGTATTCTCAGGTACCCCGACTTCCCCCAAGAGTAAATGGGTTGTTTTTTTACAGAATAACACATATATAGGCATAAAACGTATCACGAAGTAAATCTGAATCCTTTGAATTTGAGTTGTGAAAGAAAGAAAATGGAAATAGTGTGTGAAATTATAAAACAATAAAAGACAAGTATAGTGTCTTTATGGCACCTAATCTTGTAAAAACTATCAGAACTACAATATGAACTTTAAAAACTAAACAAACTAGGCTGGAAATAGTGTCTTCATTATTTTCTCAAGCTACAAATCCCTATTTTAATTACATTAAAATTGATAAGTACTGTAGAAATGGAGTCAAAATAGGAATTTTTAGCTTGAGAAAATAATGTAGACACTATTTCCAACCTAGTTTGTATATATATTTTAAGAGTCCCTAGTTGTAGGCTTGAAAATATAATAGTTGCATTTTGATTCAACTTGTTTCTGTACTTTTTTTGACGATCCATATTCCCCCTTTTAAATTATCTTGTTTAACTGGATTTGCCTGTATTTATACATGGTATCAACTACGAATGGCGATACAATTATCTTGATAATTCAACTACTGGTGTTTGGACAGTTATTGTATTTTTCTCCAAAATATTGTATCTAGCATGCGTTAGTCTGAGTGTGAATTGACATATAACGTAGTAACAATGAATATTAATCCTGGTTAAAAGAATTGTCATCGAAATGTTTTCATTTGGCTGATTTTTACCAGTGATTATATATTTTGTAATGCATTGCTTAATGCCTCACAGATGGCGGTACATTATTTTGCGATATCAACGAGACACAGCTAGTTGATATAGCTATGTTGTTTGCCATGGTAACGACACGGGATTCAGAAGTAGGTTGTCTAGTTACTCGTGCATATGACCATACCTAACGTTAATACATACACATATATATAGGTATAGTTCGTTCATTTGAACTTCACACACTACAAGAGTGGAATTTGTGCTAGTCATTTCTAATTTTGAAGTGATAGGCTAGAGGGAAGGCAGCTAAACAGCATCAGCTGCTCTTGAATATGTAGGCTGTAAATACACATCTAGAAGCCTGTACTAAATCTATGTGTGAAAGGAGTCTAAAGGAAGTGAAATGTTGATGTTAATGGATTTCTATGACCAAAATACATTGGTTGCTATTTGTATCGTTGGTAGTCCAATTTAGTGACTTATGTAGAAACCAGTTTATGCAGTCTTACTCCTATTTATTTTCTACTGGCGCCAGACAGCAGTTAATGGAATGTGTTTAGATTTCAGGATAGTTGTTGTCATAGCAAGGCAGCATAGCCCAGTGTTGGTCAAGCATAAAACCCAATAACGTCTACAGGTGCAAAGGATACATTATCTACAAGACACACATACTTGAGACCGTGTAAAGCTTGTAGGAATATCACTTTAAATCAGAGAATTGTTGCAATCAGGCCGTTTCAACCTTAAATATATATACTTACGGCTGAACTTATGACAAATTAGGATTTATTTGACCTTTCATTTCAATCCTAACTTTTCTATTTAAGATCAAGTCCTTAACCTTTCTATCTTGGCCTTACAGCAAGCCTGTTGTGTTGCTAGAATTCACTCCCGTTACCTTCAGCTCACTAATATTTACACAGCACTATGAAAGGAGAAAACCTTTCCAAGAGCTTCCTATTTCACAACTAAGATTTAGAATTCTACCATGCTATTCCTAAGACCCCACTCTGCCAACTTGGTAGAACCCATAGATGAAGTGTTGGTGACCAGTGCATCTGACATATGAGAACTGAAGCCACCAACTGACTAGCCCTGAAGTCTTCTGAGCCCTCATACTCAACTGCTAGCCAAAATGCAATAGGGCCATTGCAACTGGGATGACCAGCCCACCAACAGAACTGACCCACACAGCCTATAACAACTGTATCCACACCTTATCCTACCCCAGCACTGACTCAACACCAATCCTGGCTGGGTCAGTATTATCCAGCACATCTGAAACAGGGTGCAATGCCATAAATTGCTCATTGGAAAGTATCTCTTCGATAAATGACAATGACCTACATCTCTTGTGGAATTAGCATATCCCAAAATCCAAGACCTTCCCGGATCTCAGGTCCAGATATAAAAAATCCCCTATGATCAAGCTCCATCAGTTCCAAGTGGTACAGAACGTCCTTCAGCCAGCCAGCAAAATCTCAACCACCATGCTGAAGGATCTGTAGTTGCCTCAAGTAAAGATGGGAGAGTTTCAACTTCATATAACTCTGTATATTGTAAATCTTTATAAAATGACCTTTTACTCTTCCTGTACTATATTGTGTAAACACTAAATATTATTTATAATTTTCCTTTTGACAGACTTCCTGTATGTAAATGTTTTTTTTTAAATTGTAGCTGTTGCATTTTACAATTCATAACTTATATATATACAGTTTGATACTTTAACATTCAATACAATTAATGGTTCTTTTTTTTGTTTAGTTGTTGCAACTAGTCTTTGGTGTACCTATGATAATGATAGTCTTTTATTTTTATTCAAGATGAGATTATAATCACCTGTAAATATGAAATGAGGTATATGTGCTTAGTCATCATATTTACTTAATTATAGTTGAAGTGTAAATTTCACTGTATGTTGCTTTTGTAAATCTATTTTGTGCCTAAGATTTTACCAGGTCTCATTTAACCCTTTCACCATGGCTGGGACATATTTCCCAGTGCTCCCACTCCATTACACTGCAACTGGGACAAATATTTCCCATTGTTACTCATAATTGGCACACATGATGTATGGTAGCAAAATGAGTTGGAAAGTATTTATTGGCATCCCACCTAATGTTTATATATGGTTTTCCACTCAGCCCTTCACAAACCAACAAGATGCCAAAGCAGAATGTAGAGCAACTCCATGCAAACTGTACCCAACCCACACTGTAAGAGCAGTAACCCTAATTACTATGTCAATATGCTACATGCACTTGACTCAAGTAGCTTAGAAGATAATGAAAGTGAGTCAAGTGGTGTTCACATACATGTTGATGAAGAAACAATGAGACAAGAGGATAGTAATGATAGTCAAGATGATAAACTTCAATCCAGCAGAGGAAGGTATAAACAGCATCAACAATAGGAAACATTTGCACCAGTCACAGTGTGAGGGAGTGAAAGCACTGGTAAATACAAGTCCCAGCTGCAGTGAATAGGTTAATTTACTGTTAAAAAGACCATCAAAATGGACTATTCTATGACTTTAAAATAATCTTGTTTTTTTTTGGTACTGGCTATTAAAGGGCCACTTGGTAAGGTTTTTTCATGTAACATTAAACAAAGTATTTTAATAAGTTTTTATTTTTATTTTCTTTAATACTAAATATTAAAGGGTATATTTTATATTACTTTGCCTATAATGCCAATGTTTTATACTTTCAATTTTTGATATGTTTTACTTTTTGAAGAGTATTGATGTTCTATTTTGTATATAATTTTCTTATGGTCCAATGTTTAGAATGTCACCATACAATCTGCAGATTTGATTTTAGATTAAATTTTTATTTGCAATCTGTTTAGTTGTACTTTAAAAAGTCATAGTACCTTCTTTACTTGTCTGTGGTATTGTTTAAGTTTTACATAGGTAAGAGCAAGTTACACTGCTTTCTTGATCAATGCACAAAGCATTTACTTGATTTTTAAATTATGGACAGCCTGATGAAAAAGATATACTATATATTTCCTACCCCCTTATTTAATTGTAAAGTTTCCATAAACATTTTCATACCTATAAGTGCATGTATATTTAAATGAGACAAGGTGAAACAAATATAAGAAGAAAACAAAGCCATCTCCCATTTTTCCTTGTTTAACTTACCCACTTTTACATTATATCTTTATGAAGTTTTCCCTTTTATATAACTAGACTCATTTATGATACCACATTTTTATGTGGCTGACCCCTTTATTCTAGCTTGGTTGTTTCTGTACTTTTAAAATATTTTGATCAGATACAGTTGGTTGGATTACCTACACTATATACAAACAAAAACATGATTTCATATTTGCTTAACAACTAATTTTTACTAATAAAGATTAGCTAGTAATCATTTTCATCATACAGTACTGTAAACAATGTTATATAAACTGTTTAGTGTAAGTTTTTCATAGATGCCAATTTCTGTTTAAATATAGAAGGTACTTAACTAGCTACAATATTTCAATGTGATATATGGTTTAGTGAAATCTCAAAGTTACATATACAGAGTGACTGTAATATACAAATCTGTTGTACAAAAACCATCAACTATTCATCATGTAGCACACATATAGTCCAAAGTTTAATTTCCATCAGGAACATTTCAAGTTGTTACATTTCCAGTGTTTTCCATCCACAAAGTCTGCTTGCCTGAACTACATTAAAACTATTACATCAAGTATTTAAACAGTCCACTTTTTTTACATTATGACAAACCTGGTCCATTTTCCTCAATCATGTTTTACTCACTGGCCTTTAGTAAAAGACCCTGAACCAGAAGAGAATATATCCCAAACCATATTTTAACAGGTGTCTTACCCTTAACTTGTACAGCCTAACCTTTAACTTAAGACACGTTAAATTTATGCTTTGAAAAGTCCATTAACTGGGAAAATGAAGTCACAATGTTGCAATGAATCAACAAAGTTTGTAAAACTAGATGTCTTAAGCAAACTGGAAATAGGTAGAGCTTTTTTTTTCTTTCTTTTTTTTTACATGATGTATATGTACAAACATCAATAACTAGAATACAAAACTTATTTCATGAGACCCAACTTTTTAGCTTCTATCTCATAAATTAACAAACGCCACATCTTCACAACAAACACCTCTGCTTCTTCATCTAGTACCTAAAATCAAGAGAAAAAAATTATAATTTTTAAAACATTCTTTTTTATATAATACAATATACACAAATGAGCAAAACATCTTAATATGAATACCCATTATATTTCTTAGTCTTATTCTTTCATATGATTCATAAAAAATGTGCATTCTAATGTGTTTTAGAACTTAATTCTAAAAACTTCCTTTACTTTTGGGTAAAATCATGAAATACTATTTTGTTATGATTTTGGGTCAATAATAATGACTGAAAATATAAATGTTATATGATTTTATATACTATTAAAATAGACTAGATACACAGATTTTTTTCAAGAATACATCAAATGCTGAGATTACAAGTAACCTTTTATTAAAAAAAATACAAACTAAAATTAACTATTACGTGTTAAAACAAACAATATATGGAACCATATAAAATAATCATTTTGTAAAAATATAAATTGTTTCTTCATAAAAAAAATATTTTTCAAAGTTTTAAACTAGAATATATAGAGCATTTTACTGCTGTTCAAATTATTAACCTCACATTTCAAGAATTTTCACTTAAATCTTTCACAATAATGTTAGTTTTTAAAAGTTGATCCAATTTAAAAGAAAATATAATGGAAATATTACTGACAGGTTTTTATAGGGCCGGATTCTTTACAGTAGGTGTCTGTGACTTATTGGCAAATAAATTTGAATAATAAATGGACAACACACAATCCAGTTGTTTTAAAATAATATATTCAAAACAAGTCAAACGTATGTACAAAAATTCTTTACACTATAGGATATCACAATTTTATCTAAAACTCTAAATAATTTTCTTTTTTTCGTCAAAAATCCACATAGGCTAGTTCATTTACTTTAGAACTCAACTGAGAAGACTAATTATTTTTCTTACTGCACAATCTGAAATAGATTCACTTATGTTACCCCGTGGGTTGCCACAGGTGTATCCAGAACTTTAAATAACTGTCTCCTTTTTGTCAAAGTGCACACAGGCGAGTTCAATTACTTTAGAACACCTTTTGACATGTTATTCTCTTTTATCTCTGTTATTACAATATCACTCTGAAACTCACTTTAAATATTACCCATTATAGCTAGACAAATAACCATCCAGTCTAACTTTACTTTCACTAACTTAACTTCCACTCACTTGGTTGCCTGTGTACATTGCATTGCCCAAATGAGGTGTAGAACTTTCTACAAACTATGAGATGCTATGATGTAACAATAATCAGTTCAGACAATTTGAAAAATATAGAAGGTTCGAGTAATGTGATGTCAATTTACAACAATTGAACTACACACACAATGTACGACTCTTAATGAGTTATGTAACAAAACTTATCATAACCATCACTTTTAAAATAATTACTTTTAGCACTCTTGTAAGGAAAACTAAATAATCATTAAATATTAGACCACTAAATAAACTAAATAATAACTCTTACATTAAACAGTGTTGTATATCCAACAATTACAAACTGCTTGAGTTGTACTTGATGTGTTTGTTTGTAGTTAAACACAAAGCTACACAAACAGTCTATCTTTGCTGTGCTCACCATGGGTAACATAACCCAGTTTTTAGCATTACAAGTCTGCAGACTTACAACTATATCACTGGGGGATCTACTTGATGCATTTCCTGGTTTTACAATGAACGAAGATATACAATGAACGAAGCTCACCATGCATCAAATGAAGGTAATGTCACATTTGAAACTGACAATTTTAGTACAATAAGAAGAGCTACAGACAAAAAAGGCATGTGATTGCCAATCTAAAGTTGGTCTTCAACCAGCAAATCTTCATTCAACCTTTTATTTTTATTTTAAAAAAATGTAGTCTTGTTTTAAGCTTTTTCACCCTTTTGTCTCACTTAAAATTCACTAATCATTAAGCATACATTTATAACAAAATCTACATAATAAGATTCAGTGTCTGTGTGTGACTCCTCCTAAACCACTGGCCACACTAACTGCTAAGTGGTACCAAGCAACTTGTCTTAGTCCCGAAGTTTACACAAAGGTAAAATTTTTACCCCACCCCTCAGGGAACCAAGAAATTTCCAGAAAACTCTTCTCCTAAACCTCTGGACTCACCAACTTCTTAGGGATCCCAGGTATTCTGCAAAAACACTTTTCCAAAGGTTTCCCAAAAGTAGACCCCAAATTTGGCATTGATTTACATTACAGCAAGTAAATAAAGCCTACTAATTACCTGTAACAACTTGGTTAAAGAAATTAAATTTGCATTACAACAGCAATGATCACTAAACTGAAAAAGTGCAAAATAGTAGTTCAAGATTGTCTGTCTGTAATTTATGCAACTCCTCCTAAACTGCTGATTTCTAAGTGGTGCCAAATGAATTGTCTTGGCTCTGAGGTTTGCACAAAGGTAAAACTTTTCACCCAACCCCTTAAAGAACCAGGGTATTTCACAAAAACACTTTCACGGGGATTCATCAAAAGTGGACCACAAATTTGGCATTGATTTACATCAGAGCATGTAATTAAGTAAACCTTCTAATTTTCATTTATAATTTGGTTAAGCAATTTAAACTTGAATTATAGCAGCAATAATCAGTAAACTGAAAATATAGTTCAAGCATTAAACTTGTGTTATAACAGCCTTGTAAATGTGGGTCACAGCCTTACAGGGTTGCTAGTATACAGAATAAACAGCACCTCTTGCCATCTATATATTGTAGGTAAGACCATCATGAACATACTAACAAGAAGGACAATATTATGTTACTTTACCATTGAAACATCATCCAGAATACTCTGAGCTGGACTTGCAGCCAACACTTTCGTACAGATAAAGCCAACTAAAGTAGGCTCTTCTTCACCAATATATTCCACAATCTTCTTGTTGATCCAAGGTTTGATTCTCCTCTCCATCAGAGACTAAATATAGTATATGTACACATAATGGGTGATTACACTTGCAAATTAAAAACTCATCAAGAAAGATTTAGAAATTTGAAAATCAATACTTAATTCTGCTGTGTTTCTAATGTGTACAGGTTTTAAAAAATCCTCATAGAGAAGATATTTTTCAACTTAAAATTAGATCTCTGAAATATCAGTAACAAACTATCTAAATTTTCATCACTTTTAGCTTAACACAGATGCTCTTACGTAGCCATTTTACCTTTTTATATTCACAAAGTCTATAATTATGAAATAAGGTACACAAAATAGTGAATAACCATGATGCTATCACAGAGGAGGCAGTTTCTATAGACATTTCTAAAAGTTACACACACATATGTATATATTTAAATAAATTCAAAATGAACTATGAAAACACATGTATACAAAGAAAATTAAAGGTGCCAAAATATCAAACTACATGTTAATGACATGTATTCTTAGTAAGGTGATATATCTTTAAGAATTCATTTGCAGCAATTATTAAAATTTTAAACAACTAAAGAATTGGCTCACATTGTCTACAAGACTCCAGTCAATGTTGTATGCAAAAAGATCTTCTTTAGCAGTCGGAATCTTGTCAATTAGGTTTTTAATATGCTTCCTCTTTTCCTCAGTTGTCATCTGCTGTGTGGATGGTGAAGATTTTCCATCCTCCTGTGTATCATCCAAGGGAATCAGTTTTCTCCTCTTCTTTTGCTCCATTGCATCATCTTCATTGGCATTAAACACATCTTCCACAGTAAGCCGTTTCTTTTTCTGACTACTGCTTTCATTGTTAGAAGCTGTGGGAGTTGTTGGTGCAGGTGGGCTGCGAGACCCATAATGTGGACTGGAACCTGTTGTAAAAAAATAATCCTTAACACAGTTTTTGTGGAGTTAATAAATATAAAATGTATCCAAAAGTTTATTGTACCAATGCATTACAAAGCCTTAATATTTTGCACAATTACCAAAAAGGTAACATATAATTAATTTATATTAATCTGCAGTTTTCCTAAACAATTACTTACACATGATTCACTAACATGAAAATATGATCTTTAAGAGAATTTTCTGCTAATTACCAGATGACCTTACACATTGAAAATCTCACCAGTAACAGACAGTAACTTTCTCAGTCTGGTTAACAAAGAATATTGTTAATAAAATTCAATATTTAACCATCTAGATACAGGTAGGTCAGTATGCAAACTGTGCATGTCATGACCTTTTTACAGTTTCATTCAAAATTGACTTAAACTACTTTATTATCAGTGTAAGTAAATACACTTGGCATCAAAATATAATTCAAATTTCCATATTACATAAGTTTTAATTTCTAACTTTCAAAAGGAAATATGTAAATAAATTCTCAAACTTTGCTTTTATGTATCACATTACACTTCTTTGCTCTGAATTGTATATATTAAATTTTTTCCACTCATATATTATTTTATACATTTCCAAGAACTTACACAGTTAATTCTTATATGTTCTCAAGCTAAAAAAAATTTATAATGTCTATCCTTTTTGCTTCAATGAGTTATAGGCCGTAAACTGAATCTCACATGCTAAGACTCTCTTAGCATATGTTGTCTTAAAAAAATGTTAATAATTCTCTCTGATACAATTATTTATAACCAATAGAATATTTTAACTTGTTGTTTCCTTATGAAGTTAGATCAGTACCATGATTTGTTTTATTCTGTGTAAACTTTATAGTTTGCCTATCCTCAAGACTGCCTTGACCAGCTAAAGAAATATTTTTATGCATGTATATAAGTGAGAAAGCCAGTTAAATTATAATAGTTTTAGAACATTTTTTTTTTATGTTAACATATTGTTCAAATTTGCATATCTAAAATAAATAAAAATTATGTAAAGTATTAACAACACCCCTACGAAAAATATAAAACCTACATGTAAGTACCAAATTTTTTAGGTATATTTTTTATATTTGTCATTCTAAAATGAACTAAAATGCAAAAACTGGAAATCTATTAGGTAAGAAAAGAAAAACCAAAAAATGTTGTGATTTGACCAAGCATACTGGTCACTTGAACTAAGTAGTAGTAAAGTAATAAAACTAAATGATTAGAATATCTAAATAGTATTAATTTTGACTGTAAGAATAAATATGTTCAACTGTCCATAACAATATTCAATCATTCTAGAAAAAAACAAGGGTAATTTAGATTGTTTTCAAATTTTTTTGGGGTAGTTACAAGATCAGTCAAATGGACTGAGTTTGTAGTCAATGCTAGGGTAAAGAAAGTAATAAATAAAATACTGTTTCACTAAAAAAACTTGATATTCATTTAGAAGGTTTAAAAGGTTATGCAAATGATATTTGAAAACTTCAAAACGAAAAAAAAAGTTTTAATCTTAATATGAAAATCACCTTGCATTCAATCTAGTCAGAGTCCAAGTCAGGCTCCATAAATTCAGACAAATTTCTTTAGTAAAAAAATACTCCTTTAAAAATCTGATTTTCTGTATACAAAGGAATTGTAATGGTTACTAAAAACTAGTCCAATTTTTTTAAGATTCATTTACTACATTAAATGTTGTAGTATGTATAGTTTCACAATTACATAGTGGTTGCAAGGTTGGTCAAAATGACCAAGCCAGTACAGAAATGGTTAATTACACAGTAAAAGATTTTCAGTTTAATCCTACTTTAGTTATTGGGGACATTTGTAATGAATTTCAGTACTTAATCATTACATAATTTTATATCATACAAGAACATTAATGCAAGTCCAAATTAACTTTGTGTACCAAATGCTTTTTTTAAAAATTATCAGCCAATTGAGAACTAAAAATTTCACTTCGAAATTAATTGTTGTAACGACTACTACAATTCTGCATATATTTCACACAGATATGTACGCCTGTTACATGGATTGTTTTTTATATAATTTCTAGATCACTCAAATACTTTCAATAAATTAAGTTCATAAGCATTTTTATAGGTTATTTCATAATGAATCCTGTATTTAACTTAGTCGAAACTACTTTTCTAGGTAAATATTAATCATTTTACTGCTGAACCCATCTCATAGTTGTACCTCACAGAATGATTCAGGTTCTCGCTACAGGTCATGATGAGAAGTGCTTATGTATACAAGAAACACTTATTGATTAAGAAACTTAAACTACAGCTGAACTAGATGGGTTCAGCAATAATACTTTTAACATATGAAAGTAGTTTTTATTTACTTTTCAAAGAAATTGTTTTCTGGAATAGTTGATAAAATTTCAGATAACCACTTTATGGTTTGACCAACATCGTTTAATATGAAAAATAAGTACCTCCTAGCTTCAAACCCACAAATCCTATGGGCTTGACCTCTTCACTGGGAATGGTAACATCAGAGAAGCCTGACAAACTATTAGGTGCACTGTCTTCTTCTATAGGTTTGACTAGTTTTGTTTGTTCTAGTTCTTTGCGAGGAGACTTTTCTTTTTTCACCAAAGGTTTTTTTGGCTTGATCTCTGGTAGTTCTTCTTCATTCTCAGATTCAAGAGGTTCTGGCTTTATTCTGTTCTTCATTAATTTAGCATCTTCTTCTTGATAAATCTACAAATGAGAAAAGAATTAAGAGTTAAGGACTGAAGCAAATATGATAAATGCTTAAAATTCTAATTCTAACATAAAGTTGATTTCTGATTCCAGATACAATATCTGTATTGTTATTTAATAGCTCACAGAAACTACAACTTAAGATTACGACTCAGCATCATTATACGAAAATTGACTCTAACTAAATATTTTTTGTGAATGATATTAAATACCATATGTAATATATCATACATATTTTGATATAGCATTAAATGCTTTACAATAAGATAATTTTTTGAATACACAAAATTAGAACTCAAATGGCCTGAGGGCCTCCTGAAGTTTGTAAAAAATCGTGATTGTACTTCCATTGACATTTCCAAACAGCTTGACATACAGTCATAATATTTGGCATACAGCCTCTTTGTGAATAAATCTACGATTCTAGTATAATAGATCTAATATATACATACAAATGTTTACATTTCATTTTCCAAAATATCTTGTTTTGAAAATCATAATTTTTGGAATACAATACTTTATTGGCAAATGAACTGACATTTATGTAAATTTTATATATGATAATCATAGACCTGGTAATGGTCTAACATTATAGATAAATAACAGTCATTAACCTTCATAAATTTAACATAAACCATTGAAGTAATAATACCTATCCTAATATGAACTGTTAACATTGTAAATGTACTTTTACAAATAGTCACTAGATAACAGACATAACATTATCATCTTATCATAATTATTTAATTTGTTTGCTTTACAACTCACTAGATGGCACAGACATGTTTTATTAGTAAATACATCTGAACCAGATGAATAATGGAAGATGTCTGTTTCAGGAAACTTCACATTTGTTTTTGAGAGAGCAAAGCATCAAATATATATACTGTTTAAATGGCATTCTACTCTGCAATTCTTCTGTGCCTATAACAAACAATTTATGATATAGCTGTCTTTGTTTCATTACAAAGATATATACGTACACTAGTAACTAAAGCACATCCAGTTCTTAAGAATGGTACAGTAAAATGGAAATGTTGTTATGGTTCATCTAAAATGAGCTTATAATTTCATATACAGTCAAACCTGTGTAACTGAGCCACCCTAGGGACTGGCTACCAGTGGCTCACTTAAGAAGGTTCGCATCTTCCAACTTGGGAGAAGGAACATTTATGTAACTTCCACAAAATTGTTTCATGATAGGTGTCAGGTTAATGTCAAGACCACTTTTTCTTGATTTGCATAACTGTTTATTAACAAATATTTATTTACTTCATAATACATTTGTGAAAAAACAGTTATACTAGAAATAAATGTACATGTATTTACATAAACATGATGAAAAGGTTTTTGACTGTAAAATTATTGGGGCTTGAAGAAATCACTGATAGAAGACTGCTTCTTTGTTTTCAGATGCACTGCTGTGGTCATATCATGCAGGTCCATAATCTTGTTTAAATAAAAAGCATTTCCGTGATGTAAAGCAAAGTCTTTCAGCTGTTCAAGAAATGTCTGGGCCTGAGCAACTGAGCAGATCTGGAGTTCTGGAGTGTCATCAACATCATCAAATTAAACTTCAGAATCATTAGCAAGAAGCTCTTGTGCAGGTAGTGTCCAATCAGTGGCAGGCTGTGTGGTGGGTAGGTCTTTGTCAAGCTGGTCAAGTTCATTAAAATCATGATTGAATAACTCTTTAGAAAGTCTGAGGATTGAGAGGGGAATGTCACCTTATGGGTCATCTGTTTCTTTAACAAAGGATGTGGCATCACTTGCCTCACACACCTCTGAGGTCAAACCAGCATGTGCAAAGCATTTCTGGACTGTTGAAGAATCAACTTCCTCCCATGCTTTGCCTAGCCAGTGGACAGCTTGAAGAACTGTGATGCTGCAAAGAACTTCAGGCCCAGTGATGGCTTTGTCTTTCTCCAGCTCAATCAAAATGTAGGTCCGTTGCTTCTTTCTGTATTTCAGCTTCATGGCCTGGATGATACTGTGATCCATAGGCTGAGAAAGTGACGTTGTATTGGCAGGCAGGAAAACAAGTTTTACGTCAGTCAAGTTGATGTGGGGGTGAGAAGGAGCATTATCTAAGAAAAGCAAAACTTTTCTGTCTTGAGCTTTCATTTTTCTGTCAAAACTCTTAAGCCATTCAGAAAAAATATCACTGGTCATCCAGGCCTTGGCATTGTTTTGATATCTGACAGGCAGGGCTTTCACATTTATAGATTTGAAGCAGCATGGCTGTCTGGCCTTGCCAATCACAATGGGGGTCAGTTTTTCTCCTGTCATTGAAGCACATAAGCCAATACTCATGCATTCTCTTGACTGCTTGCCACCTACACAGTCACTGCCCTTCACATGGTAAGTTTTATTTGTACTGCTGTGTCGGAAAAATAAACCTGTTTTGTCCATATTGAAGATATCCTGAGGTCTGTAGCCTTTACAAACCGTAGGAAGTTTTTCTTTCCAATCACAAACAACATTTCGGTCCACATCACCACTCTCTCCACTAGTTGTGCCAAGAACAATGTTGTGTCTTTTCAAAAAACTTTCTAACCAGCCATTAGAAGCATGAAATGTGTCAATCTTCAGGACAGAAGCAAAACGTAAAGCTTGTGCTTGGATTAGTGGGCCGTTGACAGGAACACGTCTAGCAGTGACATCTATGAACCATTTCCAGGTCAACTCATTAATTTCTTCATTGCCGGTCTTTCTAATTTTTCTCTGGCGTTCAGCCGGTGCATTATTTTCATAGTCATTTAAAACTTCAGCTTTTCTTTTAACAAGTCTTTGAATTTGGTCTTTGCTTACACCAAAAGCCGCCCCCCACTTTACGAAAACTTTGTACTTTGTCATACATTTCTATGGCCTTGACTTTGTTGGCAAGTGTTAGTGTTTTTATAGTCTTTTTGCCTTGCTTTGACATGGTGGCAAATTTGGTTGAAACAACAAAGATATCTTTTACAGCACAGTTATTGTAAACAGTAGTAAACAGTCAGAGAAATTATTTAATCTTAAATGTAAGCTTGGCTATTTATATCAGAAAAATAATATGAATTTATAAAAAAAAGAATATATATACACCTACCTATTGTAATTAACCATGCCTACAGCAGTGATTGGCTCTCAAGGCAATTAGTCTTGACAGCACGGGAAATTTACACTGTCGAGGAATACAAATCAATATTTATGGCGGGAACTAGCGTTCTTTCACAGGTGATGAATGGGGTTTGGGGCTAAATTAGCCTGGCGCTTGGCGGCATTAGACAGGTGGCGTTCTTATAAAGGTTAAATAACATACAAATTGAGTTGGGACTTACAAAAACTGGTGCTCTTAGCCAGGTGGCACTGTTGTGGAGGTGGAGCAGTTAACAGGTTAGACTGTATATATATATATATATACACACACACACACACACGCACATACTCGCGCGCGTGTGTGTGTGTGTGTGTGCGCGCTATCTTCAAGACTTCATTTTTACTTTACAAAAAAGATTTGTATGTTGAATTAATTGAGGCATTGTAAACTATCAATTTTCTAAAACATTTGGTCTGTCTACCCTATAAATTGGTATGTTAACATAACTGTCAAACTGAATCTTCTAGTGTAGTTGGGAAATAAACAACTACTCCCTAGAAGACAGGACCTCATCCGGATCTTTGTTCTCATGGTGCAGTCTAAGTACACTACACAATGGGGGTCATATAACTGAACAATGAACAACATAGTGAGAACCTTTTCATAGTTTAGTTTAGCTCAAGTACACGTGCAGTCAACAACTTGAAGCAATAACACTAACCAAAAAAAAAAGTACGAGTTTGGCCAAGTAAAGCTAAAAAGAGCAAGTGTAGCATTTATATGAAAGAAAAAAGTGAGAATAAAAGTAGTATAAATGATGATTACATTGAGCCATCATGGTAAGTCAACAAATAATTTGTAGTAATGAGCTGAAGTCAGAATCCACAAGTTCAAGCAATGTCATGGAGCTACCTTTCATCGTCAAACAAAGAAAGCTTAATCCAGCCAACAACATTGGACTGTATTCACTTTATGGATGAAGAATCATTGATATATAACATTTTATAAGAGAAATAAGGCATTTGGAAGTTCATAGGTAAATATCTTTATAAAAAAAGAGTTTGTGTTATTTGTGATTTTTGCTTTGAAACTGTTAAAATAGTATCAAAGCCAAAAATACAAGTGGACTTGGAAGACATTCATAAGTTGGACATAAACTATTCAGCAGTTTTGGGTATTGTCAGTTGTGGTGGAGGGCATGCTCAATTCGATACAAGTTTCTCAATGTTAGGAGTTCCAGTCATGTCTCTGAACATATTTATCAGACACGAGAAGAAAAACAGGAAAGGTTATTTAAGAATTTTACGTATGATCCAAG